ATATAGATTAAACATTTTCCTTACTTCTATTACCCACTGATTTGTAAAGAATACAACCTTATAAAACACCCTGATAAAGGCAAGATAGCTGAGAATGTATGAAGCATACAGCATGAAATAATAGAGAAAAATAGCTCTACTTGGTCAATTTTGATCGATTTGAATCAATCATACTGTCAGATGCTGTTCAAAAACCTCATAATTGGTCTGGTTCTTCGGATGTGAGCTTCCAGCATTCTTTATGAAACTGGGTTCCTGACAAAGTAAAGTAGACTGAGACTTTCCTTCCTCACTAGGACAGAATCATCACTGCTTGAGGGCTGTATTTTATCTTGTAGTGCAAATTTTTGCTAAGAATTTCAAAAACACTTTTTTGTGCAACTTTTAGTGTGTAACACTGTCAGATGACAATTTTAGAAAATGGATTTGGGTCAAACAAATAAGGAACTGACATGCTGACGTACGATCGTCTGCCTGAGGAGACACAAAGGCCCTCGCACGCTGTAGCTGAATACACTGACCCACTTGACACACGTTGTCTCACACTGCATACTGAGATGTCACAATTACAGTACCACACACATACTCTCATTTGAACCTTATGCAAGCGTCTTTTACAGTATCTGCCCTGCAACCACTCATTATGGGCTGCTGTGTTCCTGAGAATGTGTGAAGATTAGTAGCTCTGCAGATGCAAATGGATTTGCTCCTGGCGGATCCTGACACCAGAATATTTAGCTCACAAATTAAAAGAAGATAGAGAGCAGTCCATCTTAAATGACAGGCTAATATTAGCAATCTGCATACTTGTGGGTGTGGAAATCTGGTTATGTGTTTTTTCTTGGTATACTTTGATGGTGTTTTATTGATGTACTCCAACAATACTTCCAGTGCGATGACTCAAAATAATTTGATAGATTTTCAGTTTATTCATTACTGAAAATAGCAAAAGATAGTCTTCATGGGGAGGCTGGGAACTCAAACGTTTTGTTAAAGAAGACGAACTCTACCTCCAGAGGATAATATCAGGTGAACATACACACAAAGTTTGGTGGGTGAATTACCCATCCAAAGGCCCAGTATCTCTACCAAGGATTGGCTTTTCTTTCACACTCCAGACTCCAGCTTGTTCAAATGGAAATAGCCTGAATTAGCGCCATGCTGAGCCCCCCCCTGCTTTTTCTGTCTCTATCTCAGGATTGTTGGCTTGTTCCATTTCAAACCACTTTTGAAAGCAAAGCATCATTGCTTTTTATTTGTATTTTTGTTATCCGTATGCTTAGCTGATCAAGCTGTGGGGGGTTGTGCGAAGACAGGAGGGCATACAGCAGTAGAGAAAGACATGTTGACACACAAGCGTAGGAAATGCATACAAATGTTCATAGTATTCACAGAGTTCACTGACACTGAACTGGCGTGCAGCTCAGATGAGGTCTGATGGGGTTGCCTGGCCTGGCAGTCCAGCGCTTTTGGGGGATCAAGCTGTAGCTCTTATCTCTCTGGCCTGATGGTCTAACCTCTATTCCCTGCCATCAGTCTTTCACACACACCCACACACACCACACACACCACACACACACACATTGGACTGATGGTCTTCACTGCCTTACGTTTTGCCGTCTGACTGACTAGAGCTGAAGCAGATAAACTGCAGTGCAGGCCATAAATCGGTGCTTTGGGAAGAGAGGGGAAGCGAGAGTGCAGGCAGTCAGATGTTGGAATAGTGTTAGAAACTGCACAACTGCATGCCTGCACACATACACACACATACACAGAGAACTTATGGCTAATAGCCAATCTTCATTAAAATTTCACAAGCTTTTTTAAAAAAAAGCAGGAATTCACACAGCTTTTGTACCAGGCTAATGTTGTAGTGTCTTGCTGTAAGACTGCAGTGATTACCACAGTAAATAGAGGACAACAGAGAAAAAGCACAACTGACAATGAAACAAACAGTTGAATTAATTAAACAGAATACGTTTTGCTTTAAATTATATTTACTATTGACTTTCACTCAGATTAAAAAAATAATAATTGGGGCCTTTTATTGCCTTTAATTGACAGTGGCAGATGTAGAATGACAGGGAAGGGGAGAGAGAGGGGATGACATGCAGCAAAGGACCAGATTTTTGTATGTGTTTTTTTTATTGATTTTTTTTAAAATCTGAGCTTTTGTGCAGATCAATTTAAACAGAATTGAATTCAGATTCATCCCGACACATATAAGTGTACTGCAGGACGGCACTGATCTGTCAATTTTGCGAGAGGGCCTTCTTTACCACACACTCTTAGACACAGAAGAAAATAGAGATAAAGGCAATGATTAGGCATTAGTAAATAACAGTAAATGGTTAAACTACTGCATAGTGTATGAATTTCAACTGTGTTTTAATGATCAAAATGAGCCCTGATAAATTCACAATTTATTTAAGAATAAAATTGGAAAACAATTAACTGTATACATACTTCCACTTGCACACATACATCCCACACACACATACACACCACATAATACTTCAAATAGAATTTAGACTATGACGAAGAAAGGCAGATATGCTCTCTAAACCTGTGAGTGATAAAAAGAGAAGGTAAGGTTTTCCTAACTGAATGCACACCCTCATTTCTCTTCCTGTGCTGCTTCTGATAATGTTAAACCAGCAGGATGTGAAGTTACGCAGTGAGCAATGTTCAATTACAGGCACATGTACAAACCATTTAAAGATGTTCAGAGTGGAAAGCAGAGATGCTTGCATTAAATTAGTTTTTCCCTCTTCTCTGTTGTATAATTGCTGATGCTCAGATGTACAATGTGCTGAAGTACCTGAATGTCAGAAGTAATTACAGTCTTCTCAAGGTGAGAAATGGAGAGGGAGAATGGCTGTTTGTCATCCGGTCATAACCCGTGTATATTCCTGCTCTGTGGGGCTCTGTGGGAGTTTTCCTTTAGAGAATTCTGTATATGTTGTGAGAACATGCAGTCGATAAGTATTTGGATCTCTGATAAGAAAACAAATCCAGACAATGCTTGCAGACTTTTATCTGTTAAAAGCTCATACACTGATTACAGTTGGTCAAACAAACAAATTCACATGTTTTTTTGCACTGTGTCTATGCACAGAAGCACATCAACCTCCATAACTCACCAGTGTTCTGGTGTGGACATTATGGATTTCATGGTCGTCAGTATCAAATAACCAAAACTGCTGAGGTTCCACAATTGATATAGAAAAGCTCCTTTTAAGGGTTTAATGGCAGCATGGCAAACTAAATCTTTAAATAAAAAAAGAAAGGAAGAAATAAAGAAAGCAGGCAAGCTCTGGGCTGATTTTTGTGTGTGCTAGTGTGCGCTGAAGATTTAGCCTTGCCATTCAGGCGTTTATAAAAAAAAAAAGATGGCAGAGCTGAATGGTGAAGGATCAGCCATTGTGAGCGATTTGATTAGAGTGAATTCTCAGGAGAACTTGTCCAGGGTGTTGGGTTATTGAATCAGACCTTTCTGCACTGAGGAGCGTCGGTCACACACGAGTACAGAAGATAGCAACATGTTCGGTAAAAGCAGTTTGTTAACAGGGTGGCACCTTCGTAAAGCTTGAAGGAGGGCTGCTTTGAGTGTTCAGTGTAAGACTTATTTCATATCAAAAACTTAAAATATTCAGAAGTATGTTTTAAAGTGTTGTCCAAGAGTAATAACAAGCCACTAACCCATTGATTTTGATGAGATAAAAAACACTGCTAAACAGAAAATTGGTGCTACTTCTGCTTATTGTAGAAATTTCCAGCTTTTGCTTTTAAAATTGAGTTGGCTTGTTTTTCCAAATTAAACATTTTAATTTTTAATCAAACACATTTGAAAAGTTCCAATTTAGCTGCAAGGAGCTGAATGGATGACATTCACATGTTGCAGTTATACTGCCTGAAAAACTAATTCCTTGTTCATTTTCTTCTCCCATTACACACATGTGTGATGCAGGTGGATTTTGAATAAAACCACCATAAACTATAATCATATTGTTAGAATTCCTTAATAGCAACACCAACTTTCCCCTTTATTTATGTAAGGTCAAATATCTGGAAAGTTGGAATGTTGGAATGAAAGAAAGATGTAATATGATTACTACATTACCACATTTACTTAAAACCTGTTTCACGACCCGTTACATTAATAGACACAAAGTTATACGGATGGAAACATTTGTGCTTTGGAAAGTTTGACATCGAGATCTTTTCATAATTAGATGTACAGATGTATGGCGTCTTGAAATGAAACCATGTTTTAAAACATAATATTTCTGATTTCTGTATTCTGGGCAACATGGTGAGGGAACTACCAGCTACTTTTATGGGTAATATAAAGAACTTTGTGACCGATTTGCAAGCCAGTTTAGTCCAGATTGTGTGTGAAAAGGCCAGAGGATAAGTAGAGCGTGTCGGTGTAAACCAGACTGATGTTATCCAGCATGCATGTTTGGACAGGGTGCTTTTAAGGAGTAGGAATGTCTTCCAAGCAATCCACCAAAACAACTCTTATTTTGAAAAATCTTTACCAGAATTGCAACCATTTTTTTTTTTTTTTTTTTACTTTTTGTCACCAGAAACATTTGTCTGTAACTTCATACAGAGATTCAAAAGCGTCCAATTCATAGGATACAACATAGAGACATTTATTTCTTGTTTCAATACCCAAACAGAGTGGTTCTCCCTCCTATCAGCCCCAGAAAGCAGCATTGTTCATTAGTAACCAAGAACAAAAATAAACTAAAAAATGTCACATTAGCTCCTGTGGTAACCCTTAGCCCTCTGTCCTTCCTTTGTCCTTCTGTCCATCCATCCAACCAATGGAAAAATAATGCACAGGTGAGTGTGTGAGTGTGTGTGTGTGTGTGCATATGTATGT